TAGACCCAGTATCTCACATATGTTGTACGCATTAAATATGCATTATTTTAAAATATTTTTAAATTATTTTTTAAAAAAGAACATGATAGGCGTAGAAAAAATTTACTCTGTATAAGTTTAGTTTGATTATAATTGACTGTATTTTGGGCAAAGTCAACCCATTTTGATTACTTAACTATATGTATTGATCTCCACTGTATTTACACTCCCCAAAAAGTGTTGAGTCAAAGACAAGGAAGAAACTTCTATTACTGCTGGAGTCTGGTTGATGTACAGTATAAAATACTATCTATCCTTTCACCATTTTGGACAAAGGCAGTATTTGGTCAGAAGTACTCAGGTGTGTGAAGAAAAAGACTGAAACACGGTGCCTGCAATGGGGAAAAAAGATTGGGAGAAGGAAATACAAGAAATCTATAATGCCTTTTGAGCTAGTTTATACTGGCAATGATGAGAGAAGAAAGAAAAGGATTTCTACTCTAATATTTTTCTTAACATTTAATTTTGTAATGGAAAAGTAATGCAAATCTATACAGAAAAGTTTGAAAATATAAAAAAGTTTAAAAATGTAAACATTAATTTGGTCTTATACCTTAGATATATATTTTTCCTCTTAAGAAAATCCAAATAAGGGGCGCCCGGGTGGCTCAGTGGGTTAAAGCCTCTGCCTTCGGCTCAGGTCATGATCCCCGGGTCCTGGAATCGAGCCCCGCATCGGGCTCTCTGCTCAGCAGGGAGCCTGCTTCCTCCTCTCTCTCTGCCTGCCTCTCTGCCTACTTGTGATCTCTGTCTGTCAAATTAAAAAAAAAATAAATAAATAAAACCACTTTATTCATGGTACTTCTGGTTTGAAGAAGAGATTCTTAAAGAACACTATAATTTTTACACATGAAAAAGTTTTTAGATATGGTCTCATACTAAACCCAGAGCAAACAATACTTATATGATCAATACATATCAAAGATTTTATCTTTCTACTTTGAATACTAATCATAGTGAATAATTATACAATGATTTATTCTATTTGTAAATATATGATAAATTTACATTGTAGGTTGTTTTTGTACTTATAGTTAATTAGGAAGGCATGTGATTACAATCTCTGCACCTTTACAACTATGAATAGTTTATCCCTAAAAATTTAATCTAGGTTAGAGTTCTTTTAAAAATATACTTTTTAAGTCATCCAGTTTCTCTCATTTAACAAAATTTTTAATATTTTCAGTAAAGTTGACTTAAACTTTCTGAAAAATTTTCGATTCATCCCTTTCTATAAATATAAGAACAGTATTTAGTTTTACAGTTCGTGAACAATACTTATGGAAGTTCAACTAATTTAAGGCTATAAATTTCATTAAGCAGATATTTTTCTGCTCAGTTATGCTCACCTGTATTTACAAACAAATCAGTAGATTTTACATTCCATTTAATGAATTCAATGAAACTAACAAATCAGACTATTGTTTTGCTTGTTTACTTAATTTGTCCTGAGTTCCCTGGAAAAAAACCAAAAGATCAACTCACACAATGTTGGTAGTAAAATGACTTCACTAGACCCTTACGTGCAAACCATATTTTGCTTGAATGAATTATTTCAATATCTGATTATTTTTGGAAACATGACCTGAAGAAATAAGTGAACTCTTTTTGGCTATACAGTACTATTTGCTAAAGCAAAGTAATCTTTGAATAAATGGACCCCTGGTGGCTACTAACCACTATAATTGATAAACTTGGTTACTTACACAGGAAACAAGATAATGCTTTATATTTACCTAAATTTCCAGAACAGAAATAAAAGCTTATGCAGAGAAAAAGTAGAATCTGTTATTTTTAAATAAAAATTGGCAAAACCTAATAAATACTGTGGTTTTAAATAGAGGGAAAAGTAATGGAATAAGAGAAATCTGAACACAAATCATGTTTTCACTTACTTGATCAGATAAAGTGATCTAGGAAGCAACTCTACTTTCCAATCGATTCAAGGAGGTTTAGGTAATAGGAAGAGAGAGTCAAATTGATTTATTTTGTCTTTATAGTGCAGAGCTTCAGAGCCAGTTAAAGGGCAAGAGATGCTTCCTATAGTCAATTTACTCTCAGTACCTTGTTAAGCACCATGTTAAAAATTAGGTAGTTCACTTTTTTGTCATTTTCATTTTACCCTGCCTAAGTATGGAAAAATAAGAGAGGGGAAGAAGGTGAATCTATTCATTTCAACCATGATAGATTTTTATATAATTTGGTAAAAACAGATAAGTAACATTAAAAAACTTACTTTGTGAATATCCTTAATCAGAAAACAAGTTATATAAAAATGAAATTTTGCCCTCTAACAAATTTAAGAAATAAAACAAATTCCATTAACTCTTAGGAAAAGTTACTAGGAAAACAAATGCTATCTCCTTAAAATTAAATAATAATCATATTACTAATATTTACTATCATGGGTATAACAAATCTAATTTACATTTTATATTATTTTTATATTGTATACGCACTGTAATGGCCTGTTTTCAGTGTTTAAAAACTGATATGTTTTAATTCATGTTATTTATGAAACTGCAAGTTAAAAAAATCACCAGAATGTTAATAATAATGTTCTGAAGTTTGACATTTTTTTAACCATTCGTTTGATGATTTCAGTATTCAAAAGTTATTTCAAAATAACATAAGGCGTAATTTCTAATCACTATGAGTTTAGACTGTATAAAGCATTTTATAAGCTATCATTTGTGTATGATAAAAATACCTGAGCATAGTTTCTCTATAATTTTGTATTGAAGAACTCCTAAATTTTACCCAGCTTAGACTTTAGGTAAAATATTAGTCAACTATAATCTTATGCATAGCCTGTGTTTCTATTGTAACAGTGAAAATTCAGAGCTTTAGTAGTCTACCTTTAATGATCCTACTTAATGGATGGGTAAACTGAGTATTATTCATTCACAAGACATTGTTTAAGCTAATTGATGAAAACCCATAAATTATATACATGGTAAATATTTTAGGTAAGACATCTTTAAAAACTATGGGAAAGTCATTACAATAAACAAATAAAAATTATTGCAAAAGGATAACAAATAACTCCTCCATGCCCTTAAATTTAATATGAATGTGAAAGGTTATACTTTAATACTTGACACATTTTGGTAGAATGGCACTTTAGTTGTTTGGAGATTCTTATATGTGTTTTATTTATGTTAGTTTCCTCAGGGCCTACGATAGTAACTGGTACATCACAGACACTTAATGAGAAACTAAATGCTGATTTAAGGAAATTATTGCATTGAAGTAACCATTAAAGATTTCTGGTAAATGACTCTCTTTAGTGAGGCTCCTAAAGAGATGTATATTAACATACTAAATACTAACATATAGTACAATATAAATGTCTGAATTTCTGATTATTAAAAATTGTTTTTCTCTCCCTACAAAAAAAGTTCAAGTAAATAATTTATGTTATTTTTTACAATGTTCTATTTTCACAGAGATATATTAAGTAACTACTCCTTCAATATGTAATGCCAATGGAAACAAATAAGGAATGTGTGTGCGGAGGTATACACCACCACAGACAAGTATGGCACTATAGGTGGCACTTATTTTCTTTATCTTCAAAGGCATGACAGTTATGTATGATTTCCAAATTTACATATGCATTTGTGATTGCAATCTAGCAGGTAAAAAAGAAAGAAAGAATGAAAGAAAGAAAGAAAGAAAGAAAGAAAGAAAGAAATTAGGAAAACATGTCAAAAGTACCAGCCATATAAATAAGAACTGATACTTATTCTGCATGATTGTCTTTCCAAGTAAAATAAAATAGTCTTATGTTGACAACAAAAAAGGCTGTGTTGTTTTACTTGCCTTCTCATTTAACCTTCTCATCTTCACAAAGCAAGTGCACACTTTCATGTCATCTGACCTCCATTTTTATATCCGCAAGTTATTTCAAGGCCTTACATGTTAATTGGTAACTATACCTTAAGTTTTATATTTGAGATCTTTAGAAAAGTGTGACATAACAGGTGACATATTGATGGTCATCACAGCGCCAACGAAAGCATCCAGCCAGGTACATGCTGGAGCCAGGTACATGCTGGAAAACTTTTATGGAGGTCCGCAGCTTGCTTCAAGGGATTTAGATTATGCAGGTGATATTTTTATAGATCCTTAAATATTCATAGCAGAAATCCACTGAGATATGTCTCATAAAGACTGTTGAACAGAAGAAAAGAAAATCTTCAAAATTCCCAGTGTTTTCTACTTGGTAAACCTGACTTCCACTTTTCACATACTACTCAGTTTCACTTTACACTTTACCTACTGAAACAAAGTCGTCTTGCTAAAAAATCTGCCAGTGACTCAACTTTATGAATAGGATATTCACAACTTGGAAATTCACACTTAATGTTTGTCTCCCCGCGCCCCACCCCCACCCCTGCCATCTCAAGGAAGAAACCACAAAAATAAATCTGGGCATCTGGTCCAGGAATAATTTCGAACAAGTCTACATTCGGTCTGGATGGGGTAAGGGGGCTGCGGCTGGGCGAGGGCAGTACAGCTACCACACGCAAAAGGCTGGTATCTGGTCCTAGAGTACAACGGGAGCTATCTGCTTTCATGAAGGCAAGTGAGAAGCTACATGTTACCGGGCTGCGAGCAACCGCGAAGGGCCGTAAGTCCGTTAAGCCTATGCCACGGAGCCTGACCTCCTGCGGAGACAGCACTGCCGGGAGAGGTCCCGCGGCCGCCAGCGGTGGGACCCAACTGCTGCTGATGCCCACACATCCGTTTAAAGACATTTGGGAGCAAAAGGGACAGCAACTCCTGAGGTCGCCGGTCCCGGCGCTCTGGTAAGCGGACATCCTTCGACCTTTCCTGTGGTGAGCCCAGAGAAGCCTACCCCGGGACGAAGTTACCTGCAGGAGGCTACCAATGCACCGGTCCACAGAGCACCCGCCTCCTCCTGCCCCCTCCCCCTTCTCCTCCCCGTCCCTTACCTTGGTTGTTGGAGACGTGACTGCAGTCGCCTGGCCAAGCCGTCAGCAGAGGTAAGAAGAACCCAAATTGCAGAAGAAATTCCCGGACTTCACAGCCCCCCATGACTCTCCCCAGCTCTCTTCTTGTCCCACTTAAAGAGAAGTGACTGCAGCGAGGCCAGGTGTTTTGCGTAGGGTAGGGGTCCGGGTCCACGTCTTCTTCCTCCTCCTCTTCCTCTTCCACCCGGCCCGCAGGAGGTGTCCCGGGGCGCCCCCCGCGCGAGGCCCCGGGGACAGGGCACGAAGGTCCAGGCTGCCCAGGTGCAAGCGCAGCTGCTTCGGAGGAGGACGCTGCCTGCGGCGCCAGGGACCTCCTGGCGGCTGTAAGCGAGCGGAATTGCATCCACCACCGTGTCCCGCTCGCGCGAGGACTATTCACTTGGGCCCGGGAGAGCGCGCGCGCAGGAGCGAGCTCGGGCTGTGGTTTGGGGGAGGGGAGCGAGGTGGCGGGGGAGGGCGCCTCACGGGGGTAATAAGGGGAGGGACGACCAGGTGCAGCGGGCAGTTCAGGCGGCCCGAGAGCCTCTCCGGACTGACGTGGGGACTTGCGGAGCCAAAAGACGGAGAGACACAGCAGCTGTGAAGTGGCACGGGGATCGCGGGCACTCCTCGGGCCGGTGTGGCCAGAGCCGAGCAACCCAGGTGGCTCCGCGAGGCCGCGAGTAGTCCAAGCGAGCTTACGTACGGGCTGCGCCCCCAGCACCTCGCCTAGGTGGCGACAGCAGCGCTTGTACAACCGACACCTCCAACTCCGCCGCGTGCGCGAAGAGCCTCGGCCTTGGCAGCCGCTTTCTATGCATCTCTGAGGCCGGACTTAGTCCCCCAAGCACTTTGCTTCCCATTTCCCGGCAGCAGCGCGGAGCGCTTTAGGACTAGTCAGCCCCTGCCACCGCTTCCCCCTGACTTCATATTTCCGCCGCTGGAGGGGGTAAGTGCTGTGGGCCAGTGCTCCAGGTCTGGGGCGAGCCTGGTGGCGGCCGCCAACCTAACCCCTCCTCAGCTCGGATCGCCCAAACTTGCCCACTCTGGCGAGCGCCTCAACTTTGTGGCCGTCTCCGCGGCTTCGAGTCCTAGTAAACCAAAAAGAGAGAGCAAGCAGCTGAGGAGAGTCACATCAGGCTGGATACCGGCGGGTGCCAGGCGCCGCGGCTCACTGAGGTCTTCGCGTCGCGTGTGGAGGTGACTCCGCGGTGGAGGTCACAAGCATTGTCGCAGTCATGGATGCTGCGATTTCCGGGGCCCGGAGCGCCCCTGGGGTGCCCCCGGCGTGGCAGGGTAGGACCGTGCGCTCCGTACAGTCCGAAGGCTGAGAAGCGCGCGGCAACATCCGCGGCGTCGCCGAGTGCGCGGCGAGCGGACTGCTCTCTCCACGCAAACCGCCCCCTCGCGGCACCTACTCCCTCCCAGCGCTCGGGTTGGTGGGAAGCAGCGGACTCACTGGCTACTTGGTGGGATCACGCGGCTCTCAGCGCAGGGCCGGGGCAACACGCAGTGCTAACAGAGAGAGGTCCCGCGTCCGGAGCCCTCACGCCCTCGCCCCGCGGCCGAGGCGGGCGCAGAGGGCAGGGCCGAAACCGCCAGCTTTCTTGAGCTCCGCCAAGCCTCGGGCTCGGCCCTCCTGGCAGCGGTGGTTCGAATGCTGCCAGTTCGGCGCTAGAGGGGGTTAGTCGACAACAAAAATGCCTCCACTGTTCGCAGGTAGAGGCGACTTCTCACACAAGGAAGGAAAAAGGAAGGAGGAATGCTCTCAGACTAAACTTAATGCGGTGTTTTGTTTTGTTTTGTTTTGTTTTGTTTTGTTTTGTTTTGTTTTGTTTTGTTTTTAGGGCGGCGCCGAGCAACCCATATCGCTAGTGAGGGGTTCTGTAATAGTTCTGTAATAGTTTATTCGCTGTTATTGTTATTAGCGTCATCATTTTCTTTCAGTCACTGTCTAGTGAGGTTGAAAGCCCACCTCAAAACTCAGGATATTTTGAAGAAATATTTATGGCAATGGAGAAAGCTGAACCTAGAAGAGCAAATAGCGGTATTATAAAGGGTAGAATGATATATTCAAAGTGGGCAGAGGGCTATGGCACAGTGGCAAGTGTTGGGGAAATGGTAGATCAAGGAGCAAAGGGTCAGCGTTCCACGCTTACAGAATTCCGAAAGAGAAAGGATCCTCCCCTTTGATGTGTTTACTGTCGTGTTTGTGTCATATGTGGTAGATGAAGTTCCGTTATTGGCTTAAAATCAACTGGAAGCGGAGAGACAAGGGCAGCGAAAAAGAGGTCGTACGTCTAATTCAGCTGCGTGGAGAGAAAGGTGAAATCCAAGTGATTTGGGGAATGTAAGGAAGGTTTCTGATTGGTGACTGTACTTTCACTCTACTTACAAATTCAAACACTGCCTCTCTTTAAAGGTGTCCACGCCAATTTAAATATATGCAAATCACTTATGAAAAGACAACCAAGTATAGAGTTTATATATTCATACTTAAAGGAGTAAAATTTGATTTTACTACTGATTTTACCACTCTTACTGATGTTGACTGACCATATGGGTATTTGCAGACTCAGCTTATAATTTGCAAACTGTAAAATTAAAAGGCTGCTTTATAATGTAAGTTGTTAAGTCTAAATAAATGTTCTTAGAAGTGTTAAGGATTCATTATACTGATGATCAATCAATATTTTTTCCAACAATTTTTTACTTACTGTCAAAGAATATATTTCCATGACCTTTCTAAAGTTAGATTTCAGTTTTTAAACTGGATTTCTATATTTACCTCGACCTACAGTTCACTTACAATACACAACTTTTGTTTGTTTAAATAAGTCATAGTGAAGCATGACATAATATATTACTTACCTGGTCAAGTAATTGATAGTCATATTCTGTTTTTGGTTTTTAAGAAAAAAAATTACAAGATTTTCATCAATATTAAAATAAAAGTATGCTTTCTATATTTAGATATTGTCAATTGTGTTTCTAGAAGATAATGACCTCTTAAGTAAAAACTCATTTTAAAGAACATGAATGAAAATATAATTATCATGACCTTTGGCTATATTGAGATTCCAAAAGAATAACTGTAACTCTTTGACCATTGTTGTACATTGTATGTACATATAAATACACATATTTATATATACACATACACACATGTATATAGATATTCATTCTCAAATATTTGTTGAGCTCTTTTATGTGCTCAGCTCTCTTCACTTAGAGACAAATTGAAAATCTAAGTAAAACTTATTTTTTAAAAGCTAACTTTTTATTTAAAATATAGTCATGGTTATCTTATGTGAGGTAGAAGCAATTTCACTTAACAGAAATGTACTTGCTTTTTGATTTTCTAGCAGTGTTGATATATTTGCTGACATGTGACAGTTTCAAAATTATAAGCCACTCAGTGAACCAGATGCAATATTCATGTAGATTTATCTGCACTTGTCTGTTTGAATCATACCCATATTCAGAAAAGCATTCATGTCTCATTCTTCAGTACTATGTTCAGAATTCTTTTGTATTCTTTCAGACTGCTATTCTTCATGATATATGGTACATACACCAGGTCTGGATTCGGGTAAGAATGATTAAATTTTCATTAAATAAGGAATATATGAGGTAAAAGGGATTAAGAGGTACAAACTTCTACTTATAAAATAAATCACAGGGATGAAAACTACAGTATAGGGAATATAATCAATAATATTGTAATAACTTTGTATAGTGATGGATGGTAACTACACTCATCATGGTGAGCATTTCATAATGTAAAATGTCGACTCACTTTGTTGTGCACTTAAAACTAATATGATATTGTATATCAACCACTGTTCATTTAAATATATATATATAAAACGCTGAAACTAGTGTAAACTTCCATTTATAGTAGAAATAATAGTGTTCACAAATACTATTTGCTTTTTAAAATGATGAAAGAAAAGACTCAACCTGCAATTAATCCCTTTGAGGAAAAAAAAGGATTATAATGTTTAATACTCAGCATGTTTTAAGGCTTGAGAAAGTCGTATTTTATTCTAGTAGAAGAGTAAATTAATCCATTTATATCTGTAATTTGCATTTTCTAAGGTCAGAGTAGAAGCAACATAAATAAAAAGTGTTGATTCTCAGGTATGTCAAAACATCAGGTTTTAAAATATTAGTTTAGTACTTTGAATAGCTATAATTGTCTAAGTCTTTTTTGTTAATATAAAATTTAGAGACATGCTGCAAGCTATTATTGCTGGCATGTCATCAACTTTAAACTATAAATTCATTAAAAGCTTAAGCTTTATGTTTTACCATGTAGACCACTAAAATAAAAAAAATCCACAAAGTCAAATATAGTTAATTTGAGGCCTTTTGCTTTAAGAAAATATGTAATCAGAAGGAAAACATGCTTCAGAAATTTTTCTTTGATATTAGGAGGTAGTTAATATTTTTCTGCAAGAAGACATGCAAAACAGTGTTGGGTATTTTACTTTATTGTTAGTGTATCAAGTCTTATAATTTTCACAGAAAAAAGAATCAGCTTGAGGCTAGATAAACATGATGGTTATTCTGCTGTGATATTGCATTTTATCTTTGTGTTATATGACACTTTATAATAAAAGAAAATATATGTATAAATATGTACACATTATATACATATACATCATATACAATATGTACACATACATACATATTATGTTGTATCCTATATATCATACACATCATGTACACATCATATATGTTATATGTGTGTGTGTGTATGTATGTGTGTGTGTGAGTGTGTTTGTAATTCAATGAAAACCTCTCTCTAGTACTTTTGTAATTCAGTAACATATACCATATGAGATTTCCATGTGTATCTATGCTAAGCATTATGGGGAAGGTACAAAGATTACTTGGATTTAGTTCCTAACCATCAGAAGTTTGTATTATATTGAAGTCACAGACATACGGATTTTTCCAATAAAAATGCATTATATGTTATCCCATAGTGGAGTTTCAAATTACTGTAGTTAAGTAAAAGGAAAGGAATCATGCCCTCACCCTTTAAGACATAGATCTTTACCGTTACTACTTTTGCTTAAACTTTTGGTGAGGATTGGTTCATCCTCTGAAAGCTAACTCAAGAACTTTTATTAGTGTCAAGTACAGTACTAAAGTTTATGCAGAATGGTCAAATAAGTCAACCAGATTAAACTTACTTGCCTTTTTAATAAGGTTTACTCAAGAGTCTGTGTGGCATCAAGTATCCACAAAAATTAATTTTACCTAAATTATGTACATAATTTTTAAATTATATAATTAATTTATTTCAGTTTTATTAGTAACACTTTAATTCAATGTCTTTTTCATGCCTAGTTG